TCTCCCATACTTACATATAACAGTATTTTAAGTACAACTTTTTATCGAAGATTTCTATTTTATTTATTCTTATAACATACAATTAAATTTTCAATGACAAAACCTATGTTCTTCTTAGGTATTTCGAAACTTACGTATTTTTACCTTTGTATACATATTTTTAAATAAAAATTAAATTGAAATACGTTAAAAATGCCTGAATATGAAAGCCATTGGATTTGGTACAAACGGAACCAGGTGCCGATGAAAAGACAAAGAGAACAGCAATGAGAAACAAACGTTAATTAAATCAAATGGATTTTATTACAACGAAGAAAAAAAGTGGCCTTGTGTTTAATTGGTCTGCGCACCTTTCTCAACGAGAGCCAGCAAATATCTGCCTTTTTCGTCAGCTTGTAGGCCATCCTGCCACTACCCGATCGTATCTTGTTTCCCAGCAGTGCGTTGTTACAAGTTACGACTTTTGCACATTCATACAAATACACACACGTACATAAAAATAGACAAATAAATACTTTAATTCTAAGAACACACTACACATTTCTTTGATGATATTTAAATTAATTTTTTGACACTTGAACATATATTGTTGTAACATATACTGTAGTATTTTTAACAATCACGCAAAGACGACTGGGTTGGACAGTGCTCTTTCATAACTGCTGCTACAGACACAAATTATAAAAAATAAAAGACAGCGTGGAACAATCTCTCAGCCTGGTGGCCCCAGACCTACCAACACATGTAGATCTGTGCACGTTAGGGACCTTCATCTCAGGAGCAAGCTGCGTGAAGTCCATGAGTACAGAAATGACTTGATGACCACGGGGTTACCTCCGTACCGGATATAGACTCGTTCTCCCATACTTACATATGCAGTATGTAAGCTTTCCACTGCTTTCACGCAAGCCGGCACCAACTCGCCTGTACAAAAATTACTTAAAACCTAAGTAATGTTGATTTTATTCCCATTTGTTACATAAAGTTTTATTTACGGTGACAAGAGCTATGCTTTTACCAGGTATTTTCGAACTCACGTGTTTTTTTACGTTTCTATTTTTATTCCCAAAAAGTCAATTAAAAAACACCCTGTAAATTCCTCAACTCTGGATGCACTGCTTTCTTTACGAGTTTAAAAAGAATAAAGGAAAAAACGTAAATATAGCTATACGATCTAGGGAAAAAGTTCTGATATTGAATCCGCCTAACCCAACGCTGCTAACGCCAGTGCTACGATGCGAAACGACTTTTTTGCACTGATTGGAGCGCCCCACCGCGGCCAGCCGTCGAACCAGACGCACGTCTTACTACTCGTATCAAGCAGCGTGCGCCTACGGGAAGAAGAGTGGATTCGCGTGGAAATGACCATATAGGCGCACATTTTGGAGAGACGTGGAAGGGGTATACCGAATGTATATCTAGGGGGGGGGGAGGAGTGGAAATGTTGACTATAGCCATATATCTAATCACACAGCCAAAGCAAGCGGCGACACGAGTTTTTCTCTTTTGACTGCAACCGAATATATCGGATCTATATTGAAATGATTTTTGCTCCTGCTCTTTTTTCTTTTTCCCCTACTTTTAATACTTATTTTGAAATTCAGTATTATTTCGAAAAAATGTTCAGCTATTTTTTTAAGGATGGCAGTTATAATCCCTAATTTATTATTTTTCCTCATAATTGTTATGAACTGTAGGACAAGCTCCGAAGGTTATTAATGAATATAAGTGGCTTTTAGATTTCTAAGGACCGAAGTTTCGGTAGCTAAGTTGCGCGATGCTTATGCCACCGCTCGAATTGTTTTGCTATCACGGGATCGATTCCAACTTTCTGTAGATTTTTTTTTTTAATGCAGTTCATCGTTCAGGTTAAATTTATTTTGTTTACGTTTTATTTAAATTAATAAAAAATGTTGCCAACT